ATTTATCCTAAATAATTGAAAATGGGCACTAAAATAGATATTGGTAAGTCAGTGTTCATGGAAGCATTGTTCATAAGAGTCATAAGGTGGAGTACACCTGAGTGTCTATCAAAAAATGAATGGATACCAAACATACAGCCTCTACATACAATAAGATATTATTGAGTTATAAAAAGGAATGGAATCTGATGTATGGTGTAGCACGAATGGCCTTGATCAGAGTCTGCTCGGCGAAATGAGCCAGCCACAAAAAGACACATATTATAAGCTTCCACTCAAGGGTATAGAATGGGAAATTTTATAAAGCCAACAATCAAACTAGAAAAAGTAGATTAAAGATTGCAAAGGAGCCAGATGTGGTGGTGCATGCCGTTAATCCCAGTGGCTTGGGAGGAGAATCACAAGTTCAAAGCCAGCCTCAGCAACTTAATGAGGCCCTAGTGAGAAAAAAAAAAAAAGGGATTGGGATGTGGCTCAGTGTTTAAGCATCCTTAGGTTCAATCTGGTCCCCAAACATATAGAAACAAAGCAAAGAAGAAAGAAAGAAAGGCGGGGGTGTGAGGTGGATGGATGGGGTGGTGGTGGAGAGAATGGGCATTTATAGTGTTCTGGTGCATAATTTCATAGTTATTTTGATCTTCATGCCTAATTTTAAATTTCTGGGAGCACCCTTATCTTGTTTTCATTTTGGTTGCTCACATGTGTGGATAATGAAGAGGGGTGGGTGGACAACCTCCCTTTGGGGAGTCCAGCCAGTTATTGTGGTTCTTTCTTGTGAAAAATTACACTAAAGATAATTTATGACCATTTTAGGGATCATTCTGACTCCCCAAACCTCTTCTTGGGACTTAATAATTGCCTCTCTGCACACACTGTCTCAAGCCTTAGCTGAAATGTTCCCATCCTCTAGTTAGCCTTCACTGAGCAGACTTCGCCACCCCACACGGCTCCTCAGTGACTAACCTGATTCTGAGACAGGCAAGCTAGCTTTCAGTCTGCTGAGGTGAACAGACATAACAGAAAATTCGGAGTCAAAAAGTGATCTAGTCTTCAGGGCTATGGAATGAAGCAATCTCCAGGAGATGGGAGGCTGGGAAGTCAGCTCAGCCTTCTGAGGCAGAAGGAACAAGGACGGCAAAATCAAACCCAGAATGACAGTCTGCCCTGTTCTGAAAATGATATTTGGTGCCTTCCCAGGTGGCGGTGAGGGGGCAAACACCTGTGGAGCATACTCGCTAAAGTAACCGGAAGTCATCTTCACATTGTTAGCATGATAAAAACCACACTCCAAGAGGAGACTAAGATGCTAATGAGGCAGGCATTGCTTGAAGAGGCTTGATGAAGACAAATGTGGGTGCAACTAACCACCTCCACCCCTCCATGGGATAAAATCAAGGGACTGGGTTCCTGCCTACCCTCCAGATGCCATCCAAGCTGAACACCTTTGTCCTTTGAGCCAGCCTGACACTCTTGGTCCACACTACATCTCCCTCTTGCTTCTGCAGAAGCCTCCAGTGAAGAGCCATGGTCCTGTTACACTGTGCATGTGCCTGATTATTCTGGCAGAGAGCACAAGAACCCATCATGCCCGGAATACTTTGGTGTCCAACACCCACCCCTCTTCAGAGATCCCAATGGTGATCTCCAATGGCAGAGAGAGTTGACCTGGATCTACCTTTAACTGACCAATCTTTAGCATTTAATTGAATAAGTGAGCAATTCAGCCTTGCTAGGGTGAATCATAAACATCACATTCCACCCTTGGCAAGTTGTCATTTATATACATCTCCATAAACTTACTAAATTTGCAAATAAAGATTTGCTATATAACCTAAGAACTCTGAATGATGCCTTTATTAAAAAAATGGTTCTTTTTAGTTATACAAGACAGTAGAATTCATTTTGATATATTTATATAAGTATGGAATATATCTTATTTTAATAGGACCCCATTCTTGTGGGTGTACACAATGGTGGGATTCACTATGTTGTATTCATAAATGGACATAGGAAAATTATTTCAGATGTATTCCACTGTCTTTCCTTTTCCTATTCTCCTGCCTTTCCCTTCATTGCCTTTGTCTAATCTACTTGAATTTCCATTCTTTTCCAACCCGCTTTACTGTAGGTTAGCTTCCACATATCAGTGAAAACATTTGACTTTTGGCTTTTGGGGACTGGCTTATTTCACTTAGCATGATAGGCTCCAGACTCATTCATTTACTGGCAAATGTCATTAAGTCATTCTTCTTAATGGCTAAGTGATACTTCATTTGTGTGTGTGTGTGTGTGTGTGTGTGTGTGTGTGTGTGTGTGTCTCACAGTTTTTTTTTTTTTTATCCATTCATCTATTGAAGGGCAAGGGCACCTAGGTTGGTTCCATAGCTTAGCTTTTTGTGAATCGTGCTACCATAAACATTGATGTGGCTACATCACTGTAGTATGCTGATTTTAAATCTTTTGGATATATACTCCATACCATTTTCTAGGGTGGTGGCGTTAATTAGCAGTCCCATCAACAATGTATAAGTACACCTTTTTCCCAAATTCTTGCCAACATTTATTATTAGTCTTGATAATTTCCATTCTGAATGGAATGAGATGAAATCTCAAAGTAATTTAGATTTATTTTCTCTGATTGCTAGAGATATAAAATATTTTTCCATGTATTTATTGACAATTTGTATTTCTTCATTTGAGAAATGTCTCTAGTTCTTTTACCCATGTATTAATTGGGTTATTTGGAATTTTGGTGTTAAGTTTTTTAGTTGTATCTTCTCAATATTAATACCCTATCTGAGGAGCAGGTGGCAAAGATATTCCATTATGTGGGATCTCTCTTCACAGTCTTGATTCCTTTTCTGGGCACAAGTTTTTTAATTTGATGTCATTCCGCTTATTAATTTTTATTTTATTTCTTGTACTTGAGGAGTCTCATTAAGGAAGTTGGCTCCTGTGTCAACATGTCAGAATGGTGGGCCTACATTTTGTTTTAGCAGGTGCAGGGTTTCTGGTCTAATTCCTAGGTCTTTGATCCACTTTGAGTTGAGTTTTGTGAAGGGTGAGGGATAGTGGTTAAATTTCAGTCTACTACATAAGAATTTCCAGTTTTCCAAGCATCATTTGTTAGAAAGTGTATGTTTTCTCCAATGTATGTTTTTGGCACCTTTTTCTAGTATGAGATAACTGGATTTGTATGGGTTTGCTTCTGTGTCTCCTACTGTGTTCCATTGGTTTCAATGCCTGTTTTGGTGCCAGTACCATCTGTTTTTGTTAACTATATCTCTGTAGTATAATATGAGGTCCAGTTTTGAAGCCTCCTGCTTCTCTCTCTCTCTCTCTCTCTCTCTCTCTCTCTCTCTCTATATATATATATATATATATATATATATATATATATATATATATATATATATATATATATATATATATATATATATATATATATATTTTTTTTTTTTTGCTAAGGATAAGGATTGCTTTGGCTATTCTGGTTCTCTTATGTTTCCAAATGAATTTTAGTGCTGCTTTTTCTAGTTCTGTGAAGAATGTTATTGGTATTTTCATGGGTTTACATTGACTCTGTGTAATGCTTTTGGTGGTATGATATTTTTACAAATTTATTTATTTATATTTTTTAAGAGAAAGAGAGAGAGAATTTTTTAATATTTATTTTTCAGTTTTTGGTGGACACAACATCTTTATTTTAATTTTTTATTTTTTATGTGGTGCTGAGGATTGAACCCAGCTCCCGCACATGCCAGGTGAGCGCGTTACCACTTGAGCCTTATCCCGAACCCATACAAATTTGTTTTTTTTAAAGTTTATAAACAAAACGAGAAAATACATGCTGGAGACTTTAATCTTAAAACTCTGTTATATTTAAATTTTATATTAGATGTGTGGTCATATTATTAAATTTATATCAATAGATAATAATATGTTAAGAAGGGGTACTGCCAGGCATGGTGGCACATGACTATAATCCCAACAGCTTGGGAGGCTGAGGCAGGAGGATGGTGAGTTCAAAGCCAGCCTCAGCAAAAGTGAGGTGCTAAATA